GGGATGAAGGAGGGGGGCAGAGGAGGGGGGACATTCAGAGAGAAAAACACAGAATCCTTAAGGTTGTATAGAATAAATTGGAATTTACAGGGGTAAGGGGGTCTGGGGGTCTTTAAAAAAATCCTCCATCGGGGGTATGGATAATTTCTTGAACTACACATTGCAGAAAATAACACAGCTGAGGGTGGCACAGTAACATGTGTTTGCAAAACTCAAGAGTGTTAACAGTTTTTTTTTCTTAAATAATTATCTAAAACTCTCTTGCTAGCAGCTCCACAAGATTTTTTTCTTCTTATTTTTCCTTCCTTTTTTTAGCAGTACCACAAGATAGTGATTACATTAAAATAATAGATATGTCAAATAAACCAACAATCAATCAATTGATTTCAGGCTATCAGAAGAACCATAGACAAGAAGACTGTAGAGGTATTTCAGCTGTTTAACGAAGAGTTAAATCTGGTCAAGAAGGAGTTCAACACCAAGACAGTTGATCTACCTGCCATGTACCCTAAGTATGCTGGATCAGCAAGCTGGGCTAGAATGCTAAGAAGAAGAATAGATAAACCCATGGAGGTTAGTTTATGTTGATCAAGTGCGTTGTTACCTTAAGCTTATGGTGCTGTTGTCATACATTTTGGTGTTCTTCATGATTATGTCATCGTTCTTATTAATGTTACTGCTATTGCTGTTATTGACTGGGTTAATGAAAGTGCTTATATCACCTAATTCAATATTTTCAGTATGGAATCTACATGGAGTGAATAGTTGAATGGTAAAAAAAAATCCATAATTTGAGTGATGCACCTTGGAGATTTCAAAATTTATATTTCCAAGATATGCTAATGAGTGTGATGTCAATTAAACATCCTGTATAAAAGCATCAATGTCTTTCTCAGGGTTTATAGAAAAGGTTATTGCAAATTAATTTTCTCATAGTTATCAGTGTTTCAATTTACAAATGATAAACAATAAACTCAAATTCCTATAATGACATCACACTCATTGGTTAGCATACTGGAAGTATAAACCTTGATATCTCCAAGATGCATCACTCAAATCAAATATAAGTATTTTACTATTCAACTATTCACTTTATGTAGAATCAATACTGAAAATATTAGGTTAGGGGGTATAGGGACTTCATGGGCATATCTATATGGTCTGTAAGTTTAGCTCAATTAATTGAACACACAATCAAGTGGAAGAAAAGACACTCTGTGGAATCCACTGTTCATTCCCATTATTGAATGCATTGACTAAAACATGTAAACTATGTATACTTTTTGATAGGTTCTTGACAAAGCTTTCTTCTTGCCCCAAATTGGTTCTGGTGATGAGATTAGAACCCAGTATCAGCAGCTGGCTCAGGTATTATGCCTTGATAATAAAACCAAAGATTTGAAATGTCCAAATAGTATATTATTCTGCCTTAATCATTGTCATTAATGAGATTTGGATGCGCACTCCGACCAGAAACAAATCCAGCATGAAGTGCTAAGGATGTGCCAGGGTCGACATCAACCCAGCTCAAACAGGGTGGGTAGGTGGGTGCCACACATAGTTCGGCTATCTTGTTCAACCACGCCAAAGCACACGTTCTTTACTTAAATATCAGTTCCCAACCAATGAGCAACCCCTTCCAATCCCCAGGGACCGGAAAGTACATGGGAATGCTATTAATTATTATAATTGCGGCAGAATATTAATATCCAATGACTTTGCATAGTTTAATTATGAGGATTTAAAATTAATCATAAAATCCCTTTTTAGGCTCTAGATGAGTTTGTCAGAAAAACCTTCAATGAATGGACTGCAACTGTGGACAAAGTAAGTGTAATGCTTGGTGGGGTTCCCATAATGACGTATGCTGATAGATACTATTGTTTTGTACCTGCTCATAAATGTCATATCTGATTCATTACTAACTAGGAATCAGCTAAACTTCTTGAAATTCCTCTGATGAAGAGAAACCAAGAAAGAACTGGAACCCTTGATCTCAACTTTGACAAGTAAGTTTTTGTTTATTGAAGAATTAATGACTTGATGGTTGTTGATGCAAGTGTTGAGGAGGCGGAGGAGGAGGAGGATGATTATGATGATGATAATAAACTTTATTTATAGAGGATAACACTTGACAGTAATATTAACTGATAAACTTGTGGTCCTTGGGACCACCATTAATGTAGTCATCAGAGCCACATGAAGGTCTAACCATTTGCAGATGTAATTACAAAGGCAGCACCTTCTCCTCATTTATTTTAAGACCCTGAGTGTTGGTCCGGCAAAGGCTTGAATCACAACCTCCCGCACAACAAACTGGCGCTCTTACCAACTGAGCTAACCGGATGGCGGTGATGATGGTATAAATTATATACTATACCTCTCTTACTGAATTTCTTTCAATATCGTTTAGGATTTTACTCAAGCTTATCAATGAAATCCACTACTGGGAGAAACTGATGTTTGAGACACCTCACTATGTGTCTGAGATGTACCAGAAGAAGGAAGACCTAAGAATACTGAGAGAAAATGTCTTACTTGTTATCAGAGACTACAACAGGTTAGTGCAGACTAATACCAGGGATTAAAATGATGGCCGGTCAGTTGCCAGTCGTAATGACCATTCAAATTAGTTTGCACACAGTCATTATAAACTCCTTCGTAGCTCAATGTTACTGGTCAAAATGACCAGCAAGGGAAAAATGTGACTGGACAAAATCCAATCCTGGCCAGGCATATGACTGGCCATTAAATTTGGCACTGTGAGAAGTCAATCTTCTGAATGGTGGATTTCACAGTTGTCAGAAGYTGGTTATATTTGCATTGGAATGACTTATTAGCCTCACTTACATACCTTCAAAATATAAGAATATCTGAATCAGCTGTATTAACATCTATTCAATGGCTGGTAGTATCGTTGCTTATGTTCAACATATCATTTTTGTACAGGATTATAGCAGTGTTGTCTCCCGAAGAACGCAGTCTTTTCAAAGAGAGAATTCGCTCACTGGACAAAAAGATTCATCCAGGTCTAACCAAGCTGACATGGGCTTCCAAGGGCATATCAGATTACTTTATTGGCGAATGCAGAAACAACTGCAGCAAGGCAAGTGTAGCATGTATTCCAGTAACGATGAGAAATATAGTCACACCGTTGCTGTAAAGTGCCCTTACTTATGACTTGAGGGTACACCATATTTTTTCTAGTCTTAGGGCCATAGCCACCGGTATGGTTGGTCCAGTTTCAACCAAACCAACTTTCGGGGGAAAAATATAAGAAAAATAATAAAAAAATGTAAGAAAAACCGAAAACCCTCAAAAATCCAACCAATCAGAAATTTGTGGCTACAGCCTGAGTCTGCAAGACAACATACAGTTAGTACAATGAAATCATTGCTGCACAGTTTTGAAGAATATGTTAATGCTGATTTGACAGGTCCAAGGTATAGTTGATGACTACAAGAACGCTAACCTGTTGATATCCAAGAACTGTGTGAAGATCAGTGAGATGCTTCTGGTCAAGATTGATGGCAAGAGGGTGTATGACAACCTGGAGTTTGAAGATGAACAGGTATAGTGTCATCAAGTGTTTTTAATCAACCTCATCCATTCAACTGGAATTTAGAACTGTTGATTTGTGATAAATGCGGATGGAAATACTCTTCTCATTAAAATAATATTAATAAAATAATTTCAATCTATTTTTCCAGAAAAATCACATGTCCATAATCCAAACGAGACTTCAAGTGACTCACATGGATATCGTGGGAACCATGAAAAGTACCTATGAAGTATTCAAGAACGATGGACAAGAGGTGATAGAAGTTTTTAAAATAAATGTTTCTGCAACCTCCATCAGATTTATCTGGGGTTTGGTATTCATTGATAAAAATAAACTCCCTAGACTTTCTTAGCAGGGACTGATGTAGCGGTTGGTTCGGGGGCTCACTCTATATTTAGAAAATCTTTAGCTCTTTGATAACCAATCGTGTAATTTTTTGTTTTGATTCAAGGTTCAAGCTCATTGGTTACGCTACACAGAGAAGATAGACCGTATGGTAGAAGAGGCCTTTAGATTAAACGTCAAATGGTCTTTACAAGAACTTTCCAGAGCCATCAATGGTGATGGTAAAAGTATCCCTAACCCATTACTGAGGGTCAAAGTTGTGCTGGAAGGCGACAAGGTAAGACAGGACTTACAACAAAATGCACAACGTCTTGTAGATCACAATAGATCAAGGGCGGATCCGGGGGGAGGGGGGGGTTGAAGCCCCCCTTCAGCAAGAAAATAAACTGAAGAATTAGATGCTTTTTTTATTGTTTTCCGTATTGTTGGCAGAAGAAACTTAATTAGCCCCCCACTAAAATCAATTAGCCCCCCCCCCCTAAAATTTTGGCTGTATCTGCCCTTGAAGATGGGAGAGTAGAAGAAAGCAAATGGCAGAGAACAACACTTGTCCAAAAAACAGTGCTTGAAATACTAGGAAATCAATAGAATTTACTGTACAATCAGAAACTATTGTCTAATGTACTTGACTCTTTTCACGCCTAGGTGGAGTTCTCGCCCACTTTAACTAAGCTAGCCAGTATGATGGAACATATCGCCAGCTCCCTGACAACTTGTCTCTCAATATTCAAACGGTTGCCAGACCTTCTCGCCAAAAAGAAATCTTCCAAGGAGGTGAGGCAGTATTACACAAGCACCGGAGGGGGGGAGTTGCACCAGGGGGGTTGCACCAGGGGGGATTTGCAGGCACGGAGGGGGAGTTTAAGCCTTAGGCCCCGTCCACATGTATCCGGAAATTTTTTTTACCGCATTTTTTTTACGGATACGGGCTGCGTCCACACGTGTCCGCAAATTTTTGTGTCGGTATCCGCAAATTTTAAGAAAACGGACACGTGTGGACGGTGAAAACGATACGAATACGCTGCGTGTGGACGCAAATATTTTCGTATCCGCGAAAAATAATTTGCGGATACAAAAATTTCCAGATACGTGTGAAAGGGGCCTTATAGTATATATCTTTGGATGGCAACAATATCCAATCAGGGAAAAAGAGATTTGAAAAAGGAAAGTTACATTTTACTTCCCTATCAAAGGTCTTTCAATCCACACACACACAAAAAAGAAGTCAAAAATTTGATCGTAGTGGCACTTTCAATAAATTTCCTCGGACACGATCAAGATTTGAAGTTCAAAAGTACGTGCCATCCTTAACTTGAATTATTGCATTTTCTCCTCCTGCGTGATATCTATGGTGATTCTAAACAAGAGTATTTGTTTCTTATAGCCTGTACACATTATCATTGAACGAGATGACGAGACCAAAAAGATCCAAGTTAGTATCAAGACGGGCATGTCAGCTAATGCTTCACATCTACAGTCATACCTCAGCACATGGGACACGTAAGTACCAACAAATGCGCCACAGATTTCATGCTGCGCATAAAAGAAAAGTCTAATCAGCCAAATGTGTCGTAACCGTAACTGTGTCGGTACGAATGCCCTGCAAGTAAACATGGATGTACTGAAATTACAGGATAAATGGGATAGATTGTGCCAGATGTTTGGATAAACAGGGATCGTTACTAGTGCTGTGTTGTTAATTCTGAGTGTGTCTTGTACAGGGCCTAGGTGCACCGAGTTCACATATCTTTATGTAAACACTTTTTTCTAGGTATCGTGAAATCTGGGAGATTCAGAAGGATGCGTTCATCAGGAGATATCAGCGACTAAATCCACCCGTGTCTTCATTTGATGCAGATATTGCTCGGTAAACATCAAAACCTTATTAACACATGACTGTAAACGAATTTCATATCGTCAATGCAGTAGTCGGCCCTTTGGCAAAGGTTGTTGCAAAAATAAATTTGAACAATAAAGAACTGTTGATATAAAAACGACAAGAATTCATATAACAATGTATACATTATATACCCAAGCTTTATGGTATTCCTATTCTCACTATAACTATCACACTCTTAATTCTTATTCCCAGGTATACTGAGATCGCTAACAACTTCCAGAAAGAGGAGACAGTCTTGAACATTGATTTTGTCATGTTAGATTGTTCACCCCTTAAGTTTGCATTGCTAAGTCACTGCAATGAATGGCAGAGCAAGTTTACTACACTCCTGCGTGAGATGGCCAGTCAGAAGCTGATTGAGCTCCATAACTTCCTGAAAGAGAATGCTAAGAAGTACGTGTTGTATAGAATAATAACGGAGGCTTTCATTTATTAGCACCTGGGGGAGGGGGGGTGGGCAAAATTGTAAGGGAGCTACGTTATTACAATATGTAATGTATCATCGTAGTATATCAATCATTCCTACTTACAATTCATTTCTTCCCAGATTAAGCGCACCACCAGAGAACTTAGATGAACTGGGTGAGAGCCTTGCCCTTTTAGAGCGGCTCCAGAACGACCTGAAGAATATCGAGGCCAAATTCCCTCCTCTTCATGAACAGTTTCTTATTCTCGAGAAATACGAAGTGCCCATACCTGAAGAGGTAAGACCACATAACATGAAAATAGAAAAAGTGCGTAAGTGACAGAGAACGCCAATCATCATTTTGCCCTCAATTCACGTGGAAATGAATTGTAGAAGTTTTGAACATGAACGTTATCGCGAGGTGATGGTTTAAAAATACACATCTTCTATCCTTCTCTTTCATATTGCTTATCATCCTTGCCTGACAAATGTTGCCTAAACACCCTTCTTCCAGGTGCAAGAGATGCTTGATCAGTTGAGCGGTGAGTGGGTGTCGTTCCAGCAGTGCTTGATTGACAGCGATATCATGTTGAAGAAGAGCAAAGAGAAATTCAAGACGGGTCTTATTATTTCATCTGAGGAGTTCAAGAAGACTGTTGGTGGCCTGTTTGAGGAGTTCCAGACAAAGGGTCCATTTAGCAGTGCCATTGCAGTCAAAGATGTAAGTAATCGTAGTAATTTAATAACTGGGTTGCCTGTGGCTTAGGGGCAATGGGGCGAGGGTGGCTGTGTGTGTGTGTGTGTTAAGGGGCGGGGAGGTTGTATAACATGGTCCTTTCTGGTATGCACTGGAAGAAGCTCATACAAACTTGTACGTGCGTTTTGAGAACGAACAGAGAACACTAACATTACTCTATATTATACGTCCAGGCACTAGATCAAGTCAAACAATATCATGAGCAAGTCCACAGCCTCAAGAACCAAGAAACAACTTTGCGCCGTGGTTTAAACATATTCAAGATAGAACAAGCACCATCTAAAGATCTCCAGGGATTGGAGAAAGATCTGGAGCATCTTGAACAAATCTGGTCTATTACTAGTGAATGGGAAGGTCTCTGGGACACGTGGAAAGGTGGTCGTTTTACCGAGTTGGTCACTACAGATATGGAGATGACCTCGCAGACGTTATTTAAGAGACTGAATAAAACCATTAGGGAAGTTAAGGTTAGTGGAGGATTGAATTTCATTCTTCTATCTTTTCTTGATTTTTATTAAATTTCATTTTTTCCCCTTTTTTTGTTGTTGTTGGTGCAACAATTTTGTAATTCTCAGGACGTGTTTGAGGTTCTGTCCTTTTTTTCCATTTATGTTTATTTTTCTCGTATTTTCAAATCATTTATGTTAGGAAATTAGTATCCTATCTGATAAAATTATCGTATTATATTCCATGAATAGAATATGGACATCTGCGATTCCATCAATTCCTTAACCTTCTCCCATTCTTTCATTCTTTCCATCCCATATTTTTAAATACCATTATGGTTTCATATTCCCAGGACAAGAATTGGGACATCTTTCTCCCATTCATTCATTCATTCCATCCCATATTCATTATTGTATCATATTCCTAGGACAAGAATTGGGACATCTGCGATTCAATCTATTCCATCACCTTCTCCCATTCATTCATTCTTTCCATCCCATATTCATTATTGTATCATATTCCTAGGACAAGAATTGGGACATCTGCGATTCCATCAATTCCATCACCTTCTCCTATTCATTCATTCTTTCCATCCCATATTCATTATCGTGTCATATTCCCAGGACAAGAATTGGGACATCTGCGATTCAATCAATTCCATCACCTTCTCCCATTCATTCATTCTTTCCATCCCATATTCATTATCGTATCATATC